ATATATATATATATATATATTCCAAAGATGGTTGCGATTTTATCTCATATCCCACATGATCTTATGAGTTTAATTCTGAAACACACTGAATCTGGACTGATATCAGACTGATTTTGCCAATAGTTTATAGCAGAAAAGTAATGTGTAATGATTGAGAGCAGAATTCTTAACTGGCCTGGCAGCTTCCATATCCTGCCTTGGGAGATGCTCACTTTTAGGGCCACCAACTCCTCAAACCTAGCCAGATTTCTATTAAAAGCCTAAGCCTAAGTTAACATCTTCAGTTGAGCTACCAGGCAACAGCGAACGTCACCTACCAGCAAATGACTTCCCATTTTTGATCTCTAGTCATTGAGCTGGCATTGGAGTACAAATGCACAGAAGATCTCAGTGTCAGCAAATCCACCCAGTGTCAGTAAAGCAACCCACAAACAACTGCAGGACAGAGTGCAAGAGTAAGTTCAAGTCACAGAACTGTAAGAATTAATAACAAATCATTGTTTTAGGCCACTACTTTTTTTAGGGAGGTTGTTACACCAACAATAGATAACAGCTCTAACATTGCTTTTCCTTAGACCTTTCAATTCATTCATACAGGTTAATTATTTCTAATCTAAACATCTGAAATCTGAAATGCTCCAAAATCTAAGGCTTTTTGAGCAACCTGTGAGTACTTAAATGTTTTAGATTTCAGAATTTCAGATCAGGGATGCCCAACTGGTAAAGTCTATGCAAACAGTCCTAAAGTTTAGAAACTATAATGTGAAATGTTTCTGGTCCCAAACAACCTGAATGGACTAAACAGAGACACATCAAGCACCTGTTGGGCAGCAAGGACTAAAGACAGCCCCATGCTTATGATGACTAAACCAACTTCAAGTATTTCACACATGAAAACTGCAAGAACAGGAAGTATCAATACTCAGAGACAGGCTGTGGAAATACACTTGAGCACACTTAACTTCTTTTCTCTAGGTTACAGCAAGTAAGTTCCATCTACTTCTTTCAGAGTGTAGCTGAAGCTAGTCTTCTAAATCCCACATAAGTACCTAACAATACAAACAATGAAAATAAACTTAACTGCTTAAGAGAGCAATGCTATTAATATGCACAGCAACTCAACTGTGGTTTCATTTATCTGAGATCAGGGAGAAGAACAATGTACTATCAGAGCTCAGGAGGTCCTAGGCAAAGGATCACTCATCACATGATTAGTCTGAGATTCTGGACAAGAAAAGAGTTCAAAGGGGTTAACAAAGCCCCCTTTCAAAGCCACATCATTTTTACTATGCTTTTAAAATCTTATCACATGATCTGTACAAAGAAAGTATAAAAACATAAATGGAGCTTATTTTGTGTGGGACACCTTTTTAAATATCAAGAGTTTCTATTTTACCTTTTAAAAATGTTTTATTATTTTTATTTTATGTGTATGCATGTATTGCCTGCATGTATGTAAATGCACCTGTGTCATGCAATGACCATGGAGAGGCTGTCAGATCCCCTGGGACTGGAGTTATGGACAGTTGTTAGCTGACATGTGGGTGCTGGGATTTGAACCCGGGTCTCCTGCAAGAACAACCAGTGTTCTTAACCAGTGTTCCAGCCCCTATTTTGCCTTTTATCAATGTTAAATACATAAAATAAAATTCATAAAATACGTAGGTATAAAGAATAAATGTCCACATATCGACCACCTAATCCACAAGAAAGGCTAAACTATCCCTTGTCCCATCTTCTTTACTTTCCACTCAAAGAGATATGATTGCCCTGAATGGTATGTCTTTCATGTTCTTACTTTTAAAATAAAATCTTCACTTTTACCATATTTATATTCTGAAGGACACACTGTTTAGGTTTGTACATCTGGGAACTCAAAATAATGGAATCTACTGTTGACATTCTTCTGTAACTTGCTTTTTCCATTCACTATGACATTCCTAAGATCCACCCACATGGCTGTGGACAGCTGTGACCAATTCTTTTTCATTGTTGTATAGTCCAGCTAGATTTTCAGGATTGATTTATGCTGTCTCTACATGAATTTCCATAATTCTGTAGACTATGCCACACCTACTGTTATTTATCCACTGATTTTCACCCCTGTGGAAATCTATCTTTCTGGCACCTACTATGATTTATCCATTGATTTTTACCCCTCTGGAAATCTATCTTTCTGGACTTTTTATTTTTTTTTTATTTGGAGGAGGAAATCTTGTAATGCAGCCTATGCTGGCCCAGGCTGACCCAGAACTCACAGTGATTCTCCTGCCTCAGCCTCCCAAGTGCTATGAATATAGGATTGTGCCATTACGTCTGGCTTTTCTGAACATTTTAAAAATCAAGAAACACTTGCTTCCCTTTAGACCTCTCAACTCACTCATACAGGTTAACCATTCTTAATTTGAATTTTGAAATCCGAAATGATCCGAAATCCAAAGTGCTCTGAAATCCAATGCTTTTTGAGCATGTCAGTGCTCAAAAAGTTTCAGATTTCATTTGGCCTACTCTGACCTTTTTCTGGTTCCCTGTCTAGAACTTGTAATGCTAACTACTTTTGCCTTTACTTCTCCTTCACATCTCCTAGGCACCAAAGACTTTCTTTCCTCCCTACAGTTAAGAGTTATGCAAATTGGGAGTCTTTTAGATAGACCCACTGAAGGGGTACCCCAACTGCCTCACCCTGTGTCCCTGTTCAGCATAGAAGCCATAGTGGTCTGTGATCCAATTCCCTACGGGTAATTTGGGTAACTTCTTCAGAGGATGGAGTGATAAGAATAGGAGGTAGGAACTGGCTAGGCAGTTAGGGTAAAAAGACCCCAAAGAAAAGTAGTCAGTTTCTTGGGTAAAACTCACAATGTCCTTGGGCCTCTTAGCAACATACTCTGTTCTAAAGGCCATGCCTTATGGAAGATCAGAAGAAGCCACAATGTTGGACAACACCAGGCTCCACCAAACTGGCTGTAAACCATCATGGCATGTGGCAAAGGGGAGAAATGTGCTTACCTGGATTTCACAGGAGAAGATGACCTCTTAGTAATGTCCTCAGGAGGCCCACATCTTCTCAATGGGGACCCAAGACTCCAAGTGGAAGCAGAAGTTGTCACTTGCTGTCCTTTCTTCACTTTCTCCATCTACAGGGGACCAAGAATATGATAGTCACAGCCCATGACTGGCACTACCTCTACAATTTGCAAATCTACTCTAGATGGAAGTGATGTATAGCTTTCTTTAAGAGGGATCAATATAAAGGTATAATGCTTCACATGACAGGCATCTTCCCAGAGATGTGCGATACCACAAAGTCACAGCATTTAAGTCATCAAGTTGAAGCAATTTCCTGCCTCAACATGTAGATCCGCCCTCACTTTGTTATAATATCAAGAGGTAACAGAACCAGATTATGGTCCTAAACATATAAGAACTGAAAAGAGTACAAAACATACCCTTGTTACAAAAACTTTACCAGTAGAAGGTGATTTTAACACCCAAGATGCCGAGTTGTAGGCCCTAATGACACATATGGTATAATGAGGGACTGCAATGCACGTATTTCTACTTCCCTCCTCACCTCTCTTGACAGAAGGCAGAAGGGAACTGACATCAGTGACTAACTACTCTGTAAAAAGAGTTCCATTCTTTCTTTCCTTACCACACTTTTCTGTAGCAAATCCTCATTTGGTCTCCATACCTACAAATAGCAACCCCCTTACACAAATAGTCTGTCTTACAGCAAAATCTAAGAGACAGAAATACTAGCTTATATTTTAAGAATGTCAGGGCCAACTGAGATTTGAAAAGAAAATGTTATTATAAAACATTTAATAGGGCTGCAGATGTGAGATCAGTGGTAGAACAGCATGTACAAGTTTGACCTCCAGGACTACAAATAAAATAATAAAAAAGAAACAAAATTTGTTTTAAGTCACTATGGTTTAGAGAACTTTGCTATGTAGCAAGTAACAACACAAGTAGTATGGTATTTATAATGTCTAAATAAATACACAGGATTGAGTGTGCCTGATCAACATTTATTCTACTGATGGTGTCAATATGACATCAAAAATTATAAGGCTATTGTGGGTGAAGGTTGAGCTATAACCTCAGTTTTAGTTGTGTATAGAGGCAAGACTCCCAGAATCAGAGAGCCTTAAGGAAACAGAAGGGATACCTACAACACTTCTGACTCCTGTCCTTTGGAGGAAGAGTATATTATCACAATGGTACCACTAAGAATCTGCTGCAAGGCAGTAAGATTTAGGGGGATGCAAAATGCTAAATAATTTTCAAAAGTTGGGTAAAAATTTAAAGCAGCAGTCCCTGGAGATTGATAGAAAAAAAGACCCCAGGTCAAGGGCAGGAAGTAATAACACTATCAGATAAACCACAGTACAGAAAGGAATGAGAGAAGGCACTTAAACCTACCAGAGAGGGCTCTGCTCCTGCCAGGGTTCCCTTCTCAGCATCTCCTAGGCCAGATGTAGATGTACCCTTCTTCCTCTCAGTGGTCCGGGTGGGAGAGGACTTGTATGAAGATTTGAGAGGGCTGCCGAGAGCTATACGAGGACAGGCATGGAATACTAGAGAGTTACAGTATAATAGCCAGAAAAAAAAATAAAGGAAGCACAGATGGAAATGGCAGGGGGAGAAGAAGTCGAGAACGTATTTTGATTAAAATGTAATGTGCATCTCACATTCTTGAAGTACTATACTTGTCCATGGACTAGACCCCATCCTCTTTTTTCAGCAGGAGTGTACCATAGGCATGAATCAGCTTTGGCCACTGAGCCAGGCATCAAGCTAGGATGAACAAACAACTACCATTTGCTCTGCCCCTGACTGATATAAGAACACAACCACCACAAGGTGTCTCTTCGCCCACTGCCAGGGGGTTTAGACCCCATCTTAAACAAAAGCCCAGGACTCAAGAGTCAAGTTCATTGAGGAGCTAAAAGTCTACATATTTGGAGCTAAGCAGACTTCGCACTGCCACCTAATAGCTGGATCCCCTTAGACAGGCTACTTAACCTCTCTAAGCCTCAATTTCCTTATGCAGGAAGAGCACAAGCACATCTGATTGCTGTCCCTGGATGGCCTGCTTAAAAAGTTGAGCCTTGGCTAGTATCTAGGAGCTTAGATTACAGGAAGGTTCTGTCATTCACTGGTGAGTACTTAAGTGTTTGTACAAATAATACATTCTGGGTGGATAGTGTTTGGGTGTTTGCTTGGTAGAGGGTACCAACATGGCTAGTCCCTGGTAAAATCTTTGGGCAATGAGTCTCTAGAGTGTTTCCTCGGCTGGCAACATTTTACATAAATTGTTATAACACATGCCTAGTCAGATGAAGTACATCCTGTGTCTCTACTCTGAGAAGATCCTTGGAAACTTAGACCTAGTCTCCTCTGGACCTCTCTTCATGTACTTCTCCCCTTTGTTAATTCTGTTGTCTATCCTTCTACTACAGTAAATCATACCCATGAGCTATGAGTCCTCTGAGTTCTACTGATGAATCGCCAATCTTGAGGTATTTTGGGGACCCTAGACAAAATTGGCATCAGAGGTAGGAATTGCTAGAATGACCCCGATTCACAAAAATATAGTAAAAGTGCCTGGGTGTATTCTTTGAAAAAGCTCCTGGCAGGGAAATGTTAAGATCTGTCATTACTGTTTTCTGTTTGACTCTCAAAAGTAGCCGTGCTTATTATAACAATGGACTTAGGGCCTGACTCTGCTCACTTCACCTTTTTCCCATACACACATCTGAGTAAAACAATGTGTTAAGTGCAGCTGTTCTAGAAAAGGGACTAATCTTTTGTCAGACTGCTCACTGGATAAACAACTAAGCTAAAAATGCTGGCAAGTGATAGAAATCTATTTTGAAATTCTTTGAAAATTTAGTATTATTCCCGAATAACACCTAAACATGATGTGCTTCTAATTAAATGGAATTAAAATCAAATTCTTTTCTTCTCCTCTTCCTACTTCCCCCATAGAAATGTTCTGTCCTTTCTTTAAAAGGTGTGCATAAGCATGGGGGATGATTGAGAAATCAAGCTGATTGCCGAATAGAATACAAAGTGTCATGGGGGGGTCACTGTCACAAAGATATTTGTGACCTTTGTTTTCCAAAACTGATGCTATCTTCTTCCAAAGGAAACTCCCCATGCTGCCTTTGTGAGCTTTTGTGATCACTGATTTTTGGGGCTAGATTGCACATGACAGCATGACTGAGGCCAGCATGACTGAGGCCAGTTTCAGCACGGTCCCTACACAACTCATTCAGATACCTCCTCATTCACCAGGGGGATCAACCAGTGTCACCAACAGAAAGCAGCTTTGGGACTGAGAGCCATGGGCAGCCCCTCTGGAATCACAGACTGAAGTTAGTTACTCCTACTGGACTGAGCATCATGAGGCAGGGTGAGAAACACCACAGTGGGAGGCCACACTGGAGAAGGACGTCTCCTAATCAATGCACACATGTCGTGCTTTGGGTGCATCCTCGGCTCCTTGTCTTCTTGGGACTCCACTAGCCCTCCTGAACTGTATTTGAGTGCGTGTGTGCCCTGATCATCACGACACTGTCTTAGCACTGGAAGACGGTCAGGTCAGCTTCAGCTTAGCAGCCAGGGCTGTGCTGAGGCCAGGTAAAAAAGATTCAGAAAGAAACAAGGAAGGAATCTGCCTAAGAAAGAGCATTAAGGTTAATGGGATTTGCTTCAGCTTCAAAGTGCAGGCCTCCTAAAGGTTTTATGTGAGATCAATGCCACAGGTTGGTCTCATCTTGCTGTGTGAATACTGCTGGCAAAAGACATCTTGGCAATGTAGACTATTCAGAAGTGAGTGAACACAGCAGACTTGCCTGCTGTTCTTGGAAGGATGTGCTTTTAAGGTATACCTTTGAGCAATGCCTGGGAACTTTTAAGACTTTGTCAAGGTTCCTACCATTAGCAGATGTCGTAGATTATAGTGTCTTAACTGTATGTAAAAAAAAATATGAACATCTGCTTTCATTCCTAGAGCATGGACCTTTCATATGTGCTGGGCAAGGAGAGCACAAGACCAGGCCCTGGTAAAAACTCTGGGTATCAAGTCTCTAACAAGCTTCCCTGGTTGGCAGTTCATGCTTGTTGCCCTTACTCACTGGAGGAAATGCATCCTGGGTGACTCTACTAGAGAGACTTTGAAAGCTTGTGCCTGGTCTTTCCTAGACTTTGCCCCATGCACTTTTATCTGTTTCTGATTTTGTTGTATATCCTTTCATCATAATGCATTTTTTAATAAAGAGGTGAGTGCGCCTGCATGCTGAATTCTCTGAGCAAATTATCACTCCTGTGGTTAGTCTTAGGGACCCCTGAAACATTCCTCATTCTCAAAATGGGGATATTTCATTTGGGTGTTGTTGAGATAGAATAAATATACTATAAAATTTCCCTTTAAAAAGTGTACAGTTCTGTGGTCTTTAATATATTCATAATTATAACCACAGTCTAATTCCAAACCATTAAGACTCCCAAATGAAACCCTGTATCCATTAAGCAGTCACTAGCCTTTCTTCCCTCGCCTACTCCATGTCAACCATTAATCTACTTTCTGTATCTGTGGGTTTGCCTATTTCAGACATTTCATAAAAGTATGTGCTGGATAGCTTTAGTGTCAACTTGACACACCTTGGTTGAGGGAGCCTCAATTGGGCATTTCCTTCTATTGGACTGGCCTGTGGCCATGTCTGAGGGGCATCTTCTTGAAGAGTGATGTGGGAGGGCCCAGCCCCCCGTGGGTAACGCCACACCTGGGCCAGGTGGGCCTGTGTTGCATAAGAAAGCAGTCTGAGCAGGGCCAGGGGAGCAAGCCAGTAAGCAACATTCCTCCATGGCCTGTGCTCCAGCTCCTGCCTCCAGGTTCCTGCCCTGAGTTCCTAACTGTGACCCTGGATATGTCAGCTAAATAAACCCTTTCCCCTCCAAGGGTATTTTGTCACAGCAGTGAAGAACAAACTAGAACAGAAATTGGTACCAGAGAGTGGGATATTGCTGACAGACCTGACCTTGCTGTTTTTGGGAGGACTGTGGAAGTGTTTGGAACTTTGGGCTGGAAAAGCTATTGTGTGCTCAGATTTTGTTGCTGTGGAGCTTGGAAAAGTTATGCTGAAAGAGTTGTAGACGATGGAGGCCTGGCTTGTGGAGCTTCAAAGGGAAGCCGAGACCATCAGGGCTGTTCCCGTGATATTTTGAATTGAGAATCTGTGGGTTCTGGTCGGCTGGGGCTGAAGAATCAGCTGTGATTAAGAAGAGACCAGAACCTGAAGCAAAACCTTTGCTTTACTGGGACAATTGATGCTGGTTAGCTGGGACTGAAAAATCAGCTGTAAGTAACAAGAGACCAGCATCACTGTGGTGAAGTCTTCTGGGAGGTATTTCCTCAGGGTCAGCGCACACAGGGGACCCGAGCCTCTATCTCAAGCTGGAAGCAGGACTTGGTCATGTGTAAGAGTCTTCTGCATTGTTCTGATGTTGAAATTGTGAAGGGATCACAGAGAACAGCTGAGGCTTGGAACTCTGAGAGGCCAGGAAAGGCCATAGCTAAAAGTGCAGCTTCAGTTGCAGTTAAGCCACCAGGACTGAAGGGGTCATGGAGAGAATCTGAGGCTTTGCATCCGGAGAGGCAAGAAGAAGCCATTGGTGAAGGTGGAGCCTCAGTTTCAGTGGAGACCCCAGCAGTTTGGAGACACCAGGACCATAGGATGACCACCAAGGACCCCAGTAGGTGTGGAACGGAGCTGGCCTGTGTCTGTGAGATGAGCTGTTTGTGCTATGGACGGCAGAGTCAGAGAAGTGGAGCTGCCAGAACCCTTTGGAGGCCAGAAGATCGTGAGTGAATCCCAGATGTCCAGCCTTGAGCTACTTTGCTGGACTTTGGTTTTGCTTAGGTGTGCCTGATTCTTCCTTTTGAAATAAGACAGTACTTGTTTTGGATTTTACAGAAGCCCACAGTTAAGAGACTTTTAAAAGAGACTATGAACTTTCAAGTGTTTGGATTTTTTAAGGACTTTGGGGTTTTTTAAGGTTGCACTGTCTTATGCTGTGATGTTAATATATCTTGGGGATAAGAACTGGAAAGGTTATGGTTTAACAGTGATTGTGTGTCAAGTTGACAAGGGGTTAATTGTGCTGGATAGCTTTAGTGTCAACTTGACACACCTGGGTTGAGGGAGCCTCAGTTGGGGAATTTCCTCTATTGGACTGGCCTGTGGCCATGTCTGAGGGGCATCTTCTTGATGAGTGATGTGGGCGGGCCCAGCCCACTGTGGGTGGTGCCACCCCTGGGCAGGTGGGCCTGTGTTGCATAAGAAAGCAGGCTGAGCAGGGCCAGGGGAGCAAGCCAGTAAGCAGCGTTCCTCCGTGGCCTGTGCTCCAGCTCCTGCCTCCAGGTTCCTGCCCTGAGTTCCTACCTTGGGCTCCCGGATGAACTATGACCTGGGATATGTAAGCTAAATAAACCCTTTCCTCCCCAAGTTGGTAGTGGTCAGAGTATTTTGTCACAGCATTGGAGAACAAACTAGGAGAAGTAGAATCATATAATTCATGGCATTTTGTGACTGCTTTCTTTCACTTATATTTTCAAAATTCATCTATTATGTAGCATCCATCAGCATTCCAGACCTCATCAAAGCTGAATAATAGTCTATTTTATAAATATAACCCCATTTTGTTTACCCATTCAAGTTTTTTCCACTGTGACTACTGTAAATAATGCTGGCTAAGAATATTTTTTACCTAAAAGTTTTTGAAATATTGTTGATTTCCCTGGCTTTATATGCCAGACTAGAATTGCTTAATCATATGGTGGCCACATAGGTTTTATAGTCAGTCATAGGGGCACATGCTGGTAATATCAGCACTTTGGAGATGGAGGCAGAAGGATCAGGAGCTCAAGGTCAACCTCAGCTACACAGTGAGTCTGAGGCCAGGTTTGACTACATGAAATCTTGTCTTGTAAACAAATAGTAAAAGAGGTTTTATATCATCTGTATGTCATTTCACTCAATATACTATATCTTGGGAATAGAGAGAGACCAGACCTGATCTTATATGGATATGGTGTTCTGCATATGAAAATAAAGAGAATGCTGGTCCTCATTAATCTTGTCATCATGATCTGATCTGATCTGATTGGTAAAGGAAGGCCATTAATTGTCTGATCCAGTGTTTGTCAAGACTTTAATATTCAGGTTAGGGAGGACCTCAGAGCTGGCCTTTCTATAAAACTCCCATTGCTAGTCCATGGATCCCTTTTTGAGTAGCAAAGCTCTAGACATTTGTTGAGCTGTTACTCTGCATGAATCACTGTGCTATTTTATTTAGTTATTATCTCATTTAATCCTCATAACTTTTAATATTATTTGTGAGACATGGTCTTACTGTGTTGCCCAGGCTGGACTCGAACTTGTGATTGTCCGACCTCAGCTTCCTAAGTAGCTGGCATTACATCACAAGCATATAGCATCATGCATGCCTTTCATCACAATAAAAAAAAAGCAAAAACCTTCCATTTTATACAGGAGCAAATTGAAGCTTAGAGAAGTTAATTAACCTACTCCAAATGGTAAGAGTTAATGAGCGGTAGAGCCAGCTACAGTACTCCAGAAACTAAAGCCTGCTACTTTGGCAATCTCTTTTAAAAAGTCTACTAAACACAATGGGCGTGGTGGCACACCCTATTAATCCCAACACACAGGAGGCAGAGGCAGGTGGATCTCGGTGAGATGGAGGCCAACCTGGTCTACACAGTGAGATCCAGGCCAGCTGGGGCTATGGGAAAGCCTGTTTAAAAAAAAAATCTAACCTTCACAGCTCATCAAGTAGATGTTTCCCCTGATTCACATGCCATGAGTCATAAAATAATTTACTCACCTATACATTATTCAGCTTTAAAAGAAACCCCAACAGCAAAATGCTGGTAGGTAGAAAATGATATTAACCATTGAAAGCATTTCACAAAGCCAGCAAATAGGAAGAAAAATATAAAAATTCAGGAATAAATCTAAGGCGGATCAGAACTGCTTCAGGCATTTTCCTTGACGTCACAGCTTGGCCTCTTTTACCTGAGTCTTGGGCCTGCTCAGAGAGCATGTGTGTACTTCTGCTTCTGGCTAAAGAAGCCTGTGTGGGTGTCAGCAGTCTCGAAACAAGAAAGGTTTCCGCGGAACTAAGGTGCATGCGATGAGCTAAGGGATGGAATTAAATAAAAATTTTTAAAAAGCAGAATTAAAATGAAAGAAAATAATGTTTTAAAAAAGACAGTGCATGATGCCATTTAACTTTTGGGTGGAAGAACAAATGTAGAAATAAAAATTCTAACGAAGGATGGTTTTTTAGTTTGTTGCAATAATGAAACAAATGACGTATCATCTAAGAGTCTAAGAAAGTACATTCATTCTCTTGTGCCACCAGAATTAACTCAATACACTATATTACTGTGACCTGAGCCAGATGTAATGATACATGTCTATAATCCCAGCATATGAGGAGTGAGGCAAGAAGATGCCAAGTCTGATGCTAGCCTGAGACAGTAAGAGCCTGTATCAAAGCAAAACAAATGAACCCATGAACAACAACAAAATCCAAGCACAGTAACCTGCATTACTTGAAGAGAGTTGGCCTAGCCTACAAGATGTTGATATGGACTCACTTCCTCAACAGGTACATCTAACACTGGAAACATCTAACACTGATTAATCAATACAACACTCATTTTAGGCCCTGTGTTAAGAAATATAACATACTGATTTTTAAAAATGACAGTGTCAAATGTGATAGTACAAAAATAGAACACTTTCATATCTTTTCCATTTTTAAGTAAGGGCAAGAATTAAACAAGTAGCATAAAAATAATAGCACCCAGCTGATTATCAGTTTGAATGGAAGCTCGTAGGCTCCACAATCTAAAGTCAATGACCATTGGATGTGGTGGCTCACACCTGTAATCTTAGCACTTGAGAGGTGGAAATAGGATCTGGAGTTCAAGGACAGTCTGGGGTACACAATGAGTTCCAGGACAGCCTGGGCTATAGAATGAGGTCTTGCCTCAAAAAGCCAAATCAAACCAACAACAAAACCTCAAAAAATAAAAATTAAATAAAATTCAATGACCAAAATATTTTGTTTTTAGAATATATGGCAACGAATACAAAGAATTACTTTATATTGTTTGGTGCCTATTTAAAAAATGGTATGGAGATTAAAAATTTAATGTAGACTAACGCACAGCCGGTAATCAGTCATCAACAATATATTATATGTTTATCTTTGCTTGTTAATCAATGCAAAAATGAATTTAACATGAACCTGCAACCATATAAATTAAAACATGGAATACATTCACGAATGGTAAAATGTACACAGTTTTTTTTTCTCTTCCAACTCTTCCTTCTCTGTTTCCAATGGCTACCCGTGAATGGGCACCAGAAATCAGCAGCACTCTGACATTCATAGGGACTCTCCTACACACATCAGTCTCTAGGACAGAGGGGTGAGGTCAATGCCAACTGAATGACAACTAGGAAGGTTCACCAGTCTCATGCAAGTCACAAATCTCCTGTTCACCCATTGGTAATGATCTGATCTCAATATTCCTCTATTACCCGAAGTTCTTTCAGTGGATCTTTAGGATACTCATGTAACACATGAAGAGTCCTCCCTTACTTAACCTATGTGCTGTGAAAGGCAAAAATTCAGGCTTCCAATGACTCATTTGAACCTCCATTAGGACACAGATGTTATTATATCTACTCAGGTTCTCAAACAGGAATGTGTCTCTGACTCATCAGTTTTGCTCTTTGTGGCTTAATCAACTATATCCCATCACTGATTCAGCAGGTATCTTTTGTAAAAACTCATTCTTGCAGTGTGAAATGTGGAATAGCTTTTTTCAGACTGGTAGAGTATCAATTCCTGCCAAGAATGACCTTTCTTTTGTGTGTGTGTCTTTTTGAGGCGGGGTCTCCCTGTAGCCCCAGCTGTTCTGGAACTCACTATGTAGACCAGGCTGCCCTTGAACTCACAGAGATCCACCTGTCTCTGCCTCCCACGTGCTGGGATTAAAGGCGTGCACCACCACGCCCGGCTGAGAATGATCTTTCTTTAAGAAGCAATACCACTTTCCAAAGTCCTGTCAGCAAGACCCTAAAGGCTAGGAAGTAGTAGTATTTGCAGAAGGCTCAAGAGGGAGCTTTCACAAAGGTCAATGTTAAGATGCTCACACCAGAAAGAAGCAAACTGGAGAGACCAGGTCTACCCATTCACTTGCCTCGGTCTGGGGAATAAGATATTGCCACGGTGGATGAAGACAGGCGTTTACTCATAGAAGGCTCCGTCTGCTTTGGCAAATTCATAGTTGATGTTGAAAGTTTGTCACATGCTGCAGAGAAATGCATTAACAACGTTGGTATTCATACCACTGTAGACTGAGGAATACATATCCCAAAGTGTCCTTCCTGTCCTCATCCACACACATCCAGCAGTGCTCCACTGTAGCATAGCACACTCTGCTTCCAATTCGCTAATGTGGAAATGTTCAGGCTGCAGCAGCCATTGCTCTGTAACTTCTACAGTGTGTCCTTCTCTTCAAACGTTCAACCTTACTCACATGTGCAACTAAAGCCGTGCTAATCAATTTGTGTTCAGAGATTAAAAAAAAAAAAAACTATCCACACCATACGAAAACAAAACCAATCTGGACCCACAGACAATTGCTCTTGGAAACATTCTATAGTTTGAGATTGTATATGCTGAAAGTAATCATTTTCTGAAGGGTATCTGTGGTTCAGGTTGGAAATGGGACATAATATGTAATGCAAGGAGCTATGTTTGAGGCAAAACAGCCTTATAGTTGGTTTCCTTCCTTTACAAAACAACAGCAAGATGGTTTTTTTCAAATGCTTTAACAGTTTATAGTTAGGATTTAACATCTGATCCTAGGTTTGGTGTTCTCATGTTCTGTTCATTGTTTTAGACTGATTTTTAAATTAAATCATTATAGCTAAAAGTACTGAAGTGCCCTGTTTAAGCTACACCAGAGCTGGAGACAAAGAAAAACTTCTATAGAGGAAGCAAACTCATTATTTTCAAAATCTAACTCCTTTGCTTGTCGTGTTTTCAGATAAGAGAATTTACCATATCTGACAATTTCTGCTAAGTGGCAATCTTAAATAATCTTAACTAACTTAAGATAAAGTCAAAGTAGAATATGTCTGGATTCAAAATACATAAAATATTTAAACATGAAATGATATTTTAAATTTTAACACTCCTGTTTTTAAATTTTCTTAATTTTTTTTTGGTCTTTTTGAGACAGGGTCTCCCTCTAGCTCCAGCTGTCCTGGCAATTTCTGCTAAGTGGCAATCTTAAATAATCTTAACTAACTTAAGATAAAGTCAAAGTAGAATATGTCTGGATTCAAAATACATAAAATATTTAAACATGAAATGATATTTTAAATTTTAACACTCCTGTTTTTAAATTTTCTTAATTTTTTTTTGGTCTTTTTGAGACAGGGTCTCCCTCTAGCTCCAGCTGTCCTGGCACTCACTACGTAGACCAGGCTGGCATTGAACTCACAGAGATCCGTCTGCCTCTGCCTCCTGAGTGCTGGGATTAAAGGCGTGCACCACCATGCCCAGGTAAATTTTCTTAATTTTTTATTATTTATTTTTATTTTATATCTATCAGAGCTTTGCTTTCATGTATGTAAGTGCACCCATGTCATTAAATGCCCATGGAGGCCAGAAGAGGGCGTTGGATCCCCTGGAAGTGGAGTTATGGATGGTTGTTTGCCACCATATGGGTGCTGGGAACAGAACCCATGTCCTCTGTAGAAGCAGCCAGTGCTTTTAACCACTCAGTCATCTCTTCAGTCCCCTACTTTTCAATTTTTAATTACTTTAACTTTTGGGAAAAATAAGCGACCACTAGAAATGATAAAACCCCATATATAAGTGTGCACCTTTTCCCTTTTGCCTCAGGCTGCGATATGACTTGGCCTAGCACTGGTATTTACAAATTCAGTACTTGGGTAGGGGATGTAGCTCAGTGGTAGGAGTGTTTGCCTAGCTTATGTGATGCCATGGGTTCAATGGGGAGGCAGGGGGAAAAGGAGGGGAGGGGAAGAGAGGAAAAGAAGGAAGCAATTCATTATTTTGATCACTATGGATTGTTGTTTTATATTTCTACTGTTTAGAATACAGCACTAAAATATTTCATCTTGAGATTTCTTTGGTATTCCCTTAAATCGTGTGTCTGAGTCACCTCCTTGGTACTAGCATTGGGTACTACTACTCTATTCTCATCTTTCGATGGGGGCAAGCCAAGTCTCAGTTCATGAAGCAAAATCTGTGCTACTGAATACCATCAACAAGGATATTTTTTATCAGAGGAATGCTAGAAACTAAGGATATTTATCTTTACTGCTAATTTGGCTTTCTGTGTTGCTGGTAAATAGCACATCCCTTCCATATCTTGTTTTCAGTTTGCCAGTCAAATATGAGCAGTATTTCTAAAGTCATTATTGAATGAGAACAAAGTTTTTCTAGTTCTGTTCTTTTTTTTCAAGCGAACGCTTTACAATATTTCATTTATTATTTTTATTTTATGTGTATTCGTGTATTGCCTGCATGTAGGTTAAGTGCACCCGTGTCATGCAATGCCTGCGGAGAACAGAAGAGGCTGTCGGATCCCCTGGGACTGGAGTTATGGACAGTTGTTGGCTGCCATGTGGGTGCTGGGATTCAAACCCGGGTCTTCTGCAAGAACAACCACTGTTGTTAACCACTGAGCTATCTCTCCAGCCCCTCTAGTTCTGTTCTTAATCTAGACTTAAGAATTTTCCACACATATCTAAAACAAAACTCCTTTTAGACAGAGAGATGAAGTCAAGCACAAAGTCAAATTGCCTGATGATTTGGATTCTCAATGCTAGTACCGATCCATTTCTTGGCACCCCCCTCTCAAACAATTCTCCTGAAATCCATCACATTAACAACAAACCCAAGTATTATATTCAAAACGCTGTGTGATTTCTGGGTTTTCACCAAAAGTCATGAGAATGTCTTGCTACTTGATACTGAAAATGGGATGTTTGACGACACTGTCAAATGTCTAAATGGCACAAAAATCAAATACTGATGAGGTTTTTTAAGGCAGAGTTAGTGAGCTAAGGATGAACTGTCTCCAGGACAGTAAGATACAAGACATGCAGCTCTGTGATGACAAAGGAACAAAGAAATATGGGCATTGTCTTTCATAGCTCTAGGAAAAAAAGTTGTGACAGGTCAGACTAAGAAATCAATTGTGAAAGTGCTGAGACAGACACAGTGATGGAGGAGGGTGATCAGTACAGTTATCACAAAACACTATGGCATGGTGATGCTCAAATATAATACCGTTGGTGGACTCGGCAGCAGCTGCAGTGGTCCCTGCGTCCGAAGGGAGGGTGCTGGCTGCTAAACCTAGAGATGGGGGTGGGGTATTTTCTGATTCACCTACACAGCAAAAAAAAAAAAAAAAAAAAAACCAGAGCAAAGAGAGGTAAAATAAAAAGTCCCAATTTGTTGTTGCATTTCAGTTTCTAATTAGGAACTTAGAAAAATAACAAATGAGTTAACTTTTCAAAACAGAAAAAAATATATTCATCGACAAAAGGTTAAAAGCACAAGATGGCAAAGTCAAACAGTACACTATAAACATCTGCTCTCAGAAAGAACTAGTACACTGCTCCTGCATAACAAAATGCTGAGATCACCAAAATGTAGTATGACACTGAGAAGAGGAAAAAGTCACCCAGAAACTCTTAACAGCCCATATATTAGGCATCCGAAAGTTTAAAGATGAGTATGACCTGGATAATGAAATAAGTCACTTTAAAACAAAATCAAAAGAGCAACAAAAAATCATAATGAGGAAGGAAAAAGCCCAGCCCTTCTTAGAGGGTTACTGCTATGCCTTTCCCAACCACATCTAGCGCTGTGACTGTGCCGCCTGCCAGTTCTCTCCCCTGAAATATTATTTTTCTGCCTGTGTGCTGAGTCCAGCTACAAGGCTCTGCATTTATTTTCTTTCTTTTCCTTCGCTGTCCCTCAATGCCCAGTACTGCTTTAATCACTTGCTAGCAAGAAGAATGACAGCTCCCCTTTATAAGAAATGCATATACAGGAAGAAGCCTGTTTTAAGCATCACATCTGAAAAGGTGCCTGCAAAGCTGTGCAAAGCATCCTCCGACTCAGCACACCCCTAGTGATGCCCATGATCTCCCATGGGAGGCCTGCAATGTAGAGACAGTGCTATACTCACCCTCACGTCCTCCGAGCCCTGAGGCTGGTGATCCTGCCCACGAATACTTCTTCTTCAGCTCTAGCTGCTGTGTGCGCTCCAGAGACCTGCGCATCATTGCTTCTAGCCGTTCCTGTTCAATTTTCAAAAAGCATAGGAAGTCAGCAGAGAACAGTATCAATCACCCAGCTGCACTGCATTGCTGCTTTAGTGCTCTGGGTGAACCACCAAATGGAGCTTTCTGTGCTCAGCATCCAAAACCCAGGCACACACGCTCTCTTCACCATACCAGTCCTGGTGGGCGGAGAGTAAACAATGCAGCTAGGCTTGTGCTGGCTGTCCAACCACAGACTGAACACTGCGTCCTGTCCTGTCCTACCTTGTCCTATCCTGTCCCCTCTCCTCCTTTGGGAGAAGCTGCTGCTATGCCAGCTCCTGATTTGCTTAAGAATAATGTCCAACAAGCATTAACTCCTTCAAGCCTGCCTCAAACCCAGTTAAGAGAACTGATATTTGGTCCCCAAACCAAATACAACCTTTCTACTTGAAAGCATAACATTTTGATTTGACAAATTTTTAATGAAGAGATTATTTGAGTTTTTCAGCCTTATACATAGCTTTTGGGGATAAAACCTGACTTGAAACCTATTTTGCAAAGCCCCATCTTCATTTTCGAGTGTCTTTTCTACACTGTAATATTTTTCTGCTAATATACTCGAGAGATAATATTGCATAGTTCAAGACTTAAAAGACAAAAATACAGAAACTTCAAACTACAAAATAAAGCACCCATGCCTTTCCAGAGTTAGGTGTGTGTGCATGTGTGTATGTGTGTGCATGTGCTGGTGGTCATGGCAGGGGACTAAGTAATTTTTAACTGGAAAAGAAAAATAGTTGCCAGGTTTCTTTAAAGAGGATTTATCAAAAGTACTCTTATATTAACCAAACTGCTACTTTCATAAAGTTGTCCTTGACACTGAAGCCAAGGTGTTTTAATTCTCCACCCCCACTACCTCAATGACAATGCAAATACCAGCTCCTCTTCCCTGCCTCTGCTGGAGAAGTCCTGAGATAATGCTGGTCATTACACTGCAGTGCTCCTGGACTAGGCTAATCATATCTGATTTTTAAAACATGAAGATAGGATTTTTCATGGCATAATAAAAACAAGCACGAAAAATTAATTTAGGACATCAAAAATTGAGTAATCATGACACACCAGGAGAAGGCTCCTTTATTCCACTGACTACAGACAATGAAAGGTCACTTAGGAGGTACCTGGATTTTTGTCTATACCAGAAAAAGAAGATAACCAATTGGCTTTTGCATATCTCAGCCACCTCTGCATTATTTTTCTCTGACTAGAACTTTCTTAATAACTTGTTTTAAGAGTCTCTCCTGAGACCTGTAATCAGATCCTCATGAAGGATTCAAATTTGTATTGACTAACAATTGTGTTCTAGTTTAGGGCTGGACATGCTCCAACCATGAGTGTGCATTTCTTGATTGTCCCATCCTCACAATCCTGGGCCATTAAGTTCTTGTGGCCAACACTGGTGGTCTGCCAGATAAAAGCTGCAACTTGGAGGGAATAGAACTTTTCCACAATCGGATACCTGAAATAGGGTCACCTGAAACCGTGGCCAAGTGGTATCTCATTATGTGAATTTAATATAAAGTATCTAACTAGGGACCTAATTTAGGTTTTAAATCCTTCATCCTGGAGTAAGTTTAGTTTGGAATGGATTGTGGTGTATTTCTTATACCAGAAGGTCCTCAAAGACGTCACTAATTAAGGGGTGCAGTGAGACCAAAGGCAACTGAAGGTAGCCTAAACAGCTATCTCTCTAGGAAGCAGAATTATAAAGATTGCTCCCCTTACACCCGCATCTGAGCTTCTCCAGCTTCCACCACTGAAGGTTTGTTCCTTTGGACCTTGAGCAGATTTATGAAAAGGTAGCTCTCCTTGAGAGATATACACTTACTTCTTATCACCCATTTTGGGAGTGATAAGGAAAAATGAGTAGCAAACAAGTTCTAAGAAAAGGGGACAAGTCAGCATAGAGACAGACAAGCCCAAAACAAAACTTGGTCCACTGTATGCATGTCAGAAGTTATTACTGTATAGATAAAGAACTGTCTCAATGTTTGTGAGCACCTTTTTAATGTGATGAGATAGAAAGAATCAGTATCTTCTACCGGGCAGGGCTTATAGGAAGGACAAATGGGAGAGAAGGAGGGAATCTTACCCTTGATTCTTTTAGCTAGGACTGCTTCTACATCTGACTGGATAAATCTAAAAAGCATGATCAAGGTGACTGGTCAAGCTGGCTTAAAAATCTAACAGAGCATTTGGGAAACCTGGATATTCACATGTAGATGAAACAACAACCCTAGCTCTCACTCTGCACAAAGAGTTTAAAATGTATCAAAGAATTGAATTTCATACCTGAAACTGAAATAAACTTCTTGAGGAAAATCTACTGAAACCACTTCAAGATTAACGCATACGCAAGGATTTTCCAGAAAAGACTCCAATGACTCAGGACATAACCTCAAGGGTTGATAAATGGGATTATACTGAATTAAAAACTTCTTCATAGCAAAGGAAACAATAGTCAGAATGAAGAGATAGACTACAGAATGGGAGAAAATCTTTAACTATATATCTCACAGGGGATTAATATGAAGAATACATAAAGAACTATGAAAATTAAACACCAAAACCCTCCCAAATCATTCAACAAATAGTGAAATGAACTGAATAGACAATTCTCAAAAAGAAGAAATAGAAATGGTCAATAAATACTTATAGAAATGTTTGATCTCCTTAGCCATCAAGGAAATGCAAATTAAAACTTCATTGTTATTCCATCTCACGACAAGTGGATTGCCTATTCCTAAGAAAACAAATGACAACAAATGCTGGCAAGGATGTGGGGGAAAGGACAATGGAGTTTTGTTTAGCCATAATGAAGAATAAAATTATGTCATTAGCAGGAAAATGGAGAACTGGAGTTTTGCTAAGCAAAATAAGCCACATGCAGATAGACATATATCCTAGTTTTTCTCATATGTGGAAACTGGATTTAAATACAAATATATACATACATAAATATTTATGACATAAAAGTAGAGGGAGACTGAGGGGGAAGGGATAGGTCTAAAGGGAGAGGGGAGAACAAGAGAGAATAATGCAGGGGGAAGAACTACAAAATATACTTTCTTTCATATGTGGAATCTAGACTAAACTATACACACATACATACATATATATGTGAAATGCAACTATGAAAGGGACTGTTTGTGGGGAGGAGGGGCAAACAAAGGTAGTGGGGGAGTGAATATGAACAAAGTAAAATATGTGTTCTGGTCTGCCTTCAATTACTGTGACAAAACACTCTGACCAATATCAGCTTGGGGAGGAAAAGGTTTATTTGGCTTACATCTCCCAGGTCACAGTTCATCACTGAGGGAGCCCAGGGTAGAAACTCAGGGCAGGAACCTGGAGTCAGCTGAAGCACAGGTCATGGAGAAACGCTGGTTACTGGCTTGGTTCCCTGGACTGTGCTCAACCTGCTTTCTTATACAATACAGGACCACCTGCCCAGGTATGGCACCACCCACAGAAAATAACCCACAGACATGGCCATGGCCATAGGCCAGTGAGATGGAGGCAATTCCCCAAATGAGGCTCCCTCTACCCAGATGTTTCAAATTGACAATTAAAGCTATCCAGCACAATATGTAAGAAAACATGAAAAATAAATCCATTATTTTGTATGTTAACTAAAAAATAGTAACAAAAAGTATATAAATCAAGAAAAGTCCTCTAGCACAGACTGGTCCGGACACTGTTAACCAGAGAGCAGTGTCTGGCAAGAGTAAGTGTGGGTGTGGCTGCTGTACCTTTTCCACTGCTTTTATTCTAAGTGTTCATGGAATGACACTGTAAGGATATGCCCTAAGTGATCCTCAGCAGGGCTCCACAGGAGGTCTTCTCTGCACAAACAGACTTCTATGCCCAGTAAGGCCCTAAGAGTGGCCAACCTTCAGTTGAGTTATGTTTGTCTAGATGAGTCAGAAATTTGTTTTGCACTAAGTTTGGTGAGTCATAGTAGCTACTAAGCAATGACAGTATGAGGATTTTAGATGTGTCAACCTAACTTAAAAGAGATGTAGCTACTCTTGGAAAGAAGCTTTTCTTAGTTATCTGTTTAGCAGAAGAAGCAGCCCTTTCTCTAAATCCCATCTTCCAGGGTTATTAGTCAGGAAGCTACAGTGAATGGAGAAGAGGTGAGTATACTGCATTGTCTACCTTACTCAGGAGACAGGAGCTTGTTCCAGCAGCTCAACGCTGGAGGCATGTGGCACATGGGAAAGCCACTTGAAGCCTTTAGCAAGAAAGTGAATTCAGGGGCTGGAGAGATGGCTCAGAAGTTAAAGAGGACTGAAGCTCTTGCAGAGGACCCAGGTTCAATTCCAAGTACCCACATGGTGGCTAACAATCACCTGTAACTCCAGTTCCAGGGGACCTGACACCCTCTTCTGATCTCTGTGGGCATCGCATGACCCAGATATACTTATTTACATGTAGGCAACACACTCAAACACATAAAATAAAAATAATGAATACCCAGGCATGGTAGTGCATGCCTGTAGTCCCAGCACTTGGGAGGCAGAGGCAGGCAGATCTCTGTAAGTTCAAGGCCAGCCTGGTCTACATAATGAGTTCCAGGACAGCTGGAGCTATAGGGAGACCCTGTCTCAAAAAAAAAAAAAAAAAAAAAAAAACAAAATATTTTTGAAAAGAAAATAAATCCAAGGACAGGGCACAAGTGGATATTGGACATCACCCCCTCTACAGGACAACTGTGTCCACTGTTCCACAGCTGTCAATTTTCAAGACCTCTAGAAGCCAAGTTGGTAGCTCTGCCTTACAGTCGAGGGAATGTTACCTCAGATGACCTGGGCTTGATGTAGATGAATATTTATTGGTTTCACTTCAGGATAACTTTTTATTTGGTTCTGGCTTCTTGAACCACTAATACAGTAATGAGGGATACTGAGACCACGCACTTCTGTCTTAGGACACACAAGGCCTTAGGAAAAACATCATGGCTACAACAGGGACATAAAGCCAGGGAAGAGCTGCATGGAGGGGCCAACAGGCCTCTTATGATCTCCTAAGTGTTGGATCCAGAGAGGTAAGGCTATACAACACTTTCCAATAGACTAGAGAAGCAAAATGGCCTGTATAGGGTGAATAATCTTGGTGAAGCTTTTTTTCCTGGTAGACAGAGACAGAAAATGACAAAAAGAAATTTGGCACTGACAAGAAAATCAAGACTCTCTATAGCCAGGTGCCAATCATGCCACAGCCCTCACTGAGCTCTCCAAGAACCATGGGGTTGACCACAGACAGCTTCCTTTGGAGAGTGACTCCTGTAGTGCAGGGCAATCCCACTTCCCTAAAGATCACTCATGAAAACATTAAATAAGCCTTTCTATCAGCAGTATACCAACCCTGATGTGGTTACCTGGTTAGCCTATGAGTGGCAAGTTCCTAAGCTACACCGAAATCTACTGGGGACCTGAAGGTGGAAAAGGCAGGCTTCTACTTCCTTGGGTTGCTATACAACTTTAAAAGTTCAGCTCTCATGGGGCTGGAGAGATGGCTGAGCAGTTCAGAGCACTGACTGCTCTTGCAGAGAACCCAGGCTCAAGTCCCAGCACCCACATGGTGGCTACGAACCGTCCTTAACTCCAGTTCCAGGGGAATCCGAAGCCCTCTTCTGACCTCCGCATGACACGGGTGTACTCATATACATGCAGGCAATACACTCATACACATAAAATAAAAATAAAGTCGGGCATGGTAGAGCACGCCTGTAGTCCCAGCACTTGGGAGGCAGAGGCAGGTGGATCTCTGTGAGGTCAAGGCCAGCCTGGTCTACATAATGAATTCCAGGACAGCTGGGGCTACAGGGAGACCCTGCTTCAAAAAGACAAAAAAAAAAAAAAGTTCAGCTCTCAGCCCAGAACTGCCCAGTCAAAGCTGTGCCATTTTGTGTCTGTCAGACAGTATCTTCCACTATATTAGTGGTAAAAGAAAACATAGAATCAACAAGAAAAACATCCAGAATTCAAACCACTAAAGATTCAGCTGTGTCAGGACCAACCATCTGGCATGATTTCCCCTCATTTGCAAGCAGAAATCTGACTACTTAATGTGCCTCCAGTAGTACTGTTCTAGAAAACAAAATTATACACAAGAATTGCCTCCAAAGTGGACCCTTGTGATATACCAGTGCATGAGAAGCATCCAACATGACACTTTACAGCACTTCTTCCTGGGAGAAGTAGTGATAAGCTTTCTATAGAATCAGCAATTCAGCAGGATGTCAAAAATTAAAATGGGAAGGCCAGCAAGGAAGGAGACATGCTCTAAGTTACCAAGGAATGAAGGATGGGAAGAAAATAGTTAAGTCCAGTGACTCATGAGAAACAGAGCCTGTGAATGGAGAATTTTTCTTGAGACTGGGTCTCCCTATATCCCCAGCTGTCCTGGAACTCCTATGTAGACCAGGCTGGCCTCAACTTCACAGAGATCTGCCTGCCTCTACCTTCCAAGTGCTGAGATTAAAGTTGTGCATTATCACAACTGGCTGAGAAATCTATCTTCAGTTACAAAAATGGTGTCTCTTTCCCACAGTGCTCTCTATACCCCCATCCTCCCCAACGTTTAAAACTGAACCTAGGGCCTCACACATGCTAGGCAAGTGCTCCACTACTGATATATACCCTCAGCTCCTTTTAAACTATTTATTTCAAGACAGGGTCTCACTAAATTGCCCAGGCTGGCTGTGAACTTGTTCTATTGCCTTGACAGCCCCTGAACTTGTGACCCTCCTGCCTCAGTCTCCTTAGTAGCTGGGATTACATACCTGTGCTACCAGGCCCATGTGACTTTTGTTATGTTATGTTGGTTTTTTATTATTTAAATTTTTAAATTTATTTTTTCAATTTATTTGTATGTGTATGAGTGTATTACCTGCATGTTATGTAAACACACCATTTGTGTGCAATGCCTACAGAGGCCAGCAGAGGGCATTAGAGCTCCTAAAACTGGAGTTATGGATGGCTGTCAGCCGCCATGTGGGTTCTGGGAACCAAACCCAGGTCCTCTACAAGTGCAGCTAGTGCTCTTAACTGCTGAGTCATCTCCTTAACCCCTATTCTTATTTTTCAAGACAGGGTCTCATGTAGCCCAGATTAGCCTCAAACTGGCTATGTAGCCAAGGAAAAACCTGAACTTTTGATTCTCTAGCGTCTACTTCCATGTGGCTTATTCTTTTTTTACAGTATATAGACTGTCCCATAATCTCTTCTGAAGCTCCCTCTTGATCATGTTTCCACCAAGGTCGGCTGCAGTAACTGGAGGAAATCTCACATTTCCAATGATTGCTCCGTTCTAGTTGCTTTGCTGGGCACTTTTACAAAAGTTACCTTCTTCACTCCCTGTATTTTGTTTAGGGCAGAGAAACAGTTAAGGGGTTACATGACTTGCTCTAACTACCAGCTGCTCAGTGACAAGGCTAGAATTTGAAGTGAGAACAAATGAAGCCACAGCAATCAGACTGAAGCCAGCAACAGTAAATCACGGCTGAGAGCCTTGCTTAGACTTTCATTCACTAAGAAAAACAAAGAAATCATTAAAATGAGTGCTTCATGGGCAAAAGTGGGTCTTATGTGTGAGTACATGGTTAATGTTCATATGCCCTCTTTATATTAAAAAAGAGGAAATGCTAAATATATATAGTAGTAAGCATTCAGAAATTTAAAAAAACACTAAATTCATATGAAAGTCTCTGTATCCTACAGTGTTGGAGATTAACAAATTGCTATTATTGTTCATGCTAAAAGATGAGTCATTATACCTTATGAATAAAAAATGATCATCACCTCACACAAGAGTGTGATTACATTCTTAAAATATGCTTGTTAAGAAAATCTATATCTCAAATATGCTTTCTAAATACACTTTCAAAGTTTAGTAATAAAGGACTCTGTAGGGATAATTGCATTCCATTTCTTTTTTAAAAGGTACCTGGAAAGAAAGGATGATTAAAGCAAGGAGCTACATTAAAATTTAAATACATTAGCATCTTTGTATTCAAACACAGAATAATTTTCCAGCAGTAAAAGGATCATGTTATTATATGCTTTGGCCTCAGTCTGTTCTGGAGGCATGGACTCCCAGCAGTAATGCTCAGTTTTTTATCACAACCCCCCTCCCAGCAACAATCCTGTGCCTTCACTTAATCAGAAAAGGTTATGCCTGAAAGAAGACTTGGAGACCACCATCTTCAACTCCTCACTGCAGAGACAACCAATGGCCTGGAGAAACTAACCAGTTTGCCCCAAGTCACAGTAGCACTTGAATCAAATGGCTAAGTCTCTGCTCCTCTGCTAGTGCTACTTCTACTAAACTGCTGTGTCATGGTGCTGAAAGAATGCATGCTAAGTCACCAGAAGAAGATTTGAGAGCAGGTTTCTCACACAGCCCAGAGTTGGACAGTACACCAGATACCCTGAACACTACATCCTATGTAAGCTGCAGAGCTAGCTGGTGTGGTTGGCTCCCAGGGCTTCACCTCCTCTTCCCGGAGCTTCTGCTTTCTCTTCTCTTCCACTGCAGCCCTCTTCTGGTCTTCCCGCTGGCGCTGTTCCTCCAACTTTCGCCATCGCTCCTCAATTTGCTTCTCATACTGAAGCTTGGCTCTTTTCTGTTTCTCCAGGATCTGCTGTTCCCGGGCAGCTGAGGAATGGGAGCAGAAGAGAAGTGTCATTCCAAGAGCTCCTCATGCATAAAGACCAAGAACACAGAAATGAGAGTCTGGTGGAATTCTGGAACACAATGATTGCAATAAGTGTTCTGGCACCTCTGCCACTAGTTGAATAATATGGGGCATCTTGACCATGTTATCTTTCTGCCTTTGTTTCTTCCTCAGTCAAAAGGGGACAGTAGTATTTGTCGTATAACAAAATGGTGAAGACACTGAGTGATGCAATGCTTGTGAAACACACAGTACATTTGCACCACATATGGGTGTTATGACTATTACTGCTATCATTAAGTCAAACTTGTGAACAAAAGCTAATCCATACAGTACCTTGAGAAATGATAGTTTAAGGGTACATTCATTTAAAAGTACATTAACTGGTCGGGTGTTGTGGCGCACGCCTGTAGTCCCAGCCCTTGGGAGCCAGAGGTAGGCAGATCTCTGTGAGTTCAAGGCCAGCCTGGTCTACATAGTGAGTTCCAGGATAGCTGGGACTACAGGGAAACCCTGCCTCAAAAAGACAAAAAAAAAGTATATTAACTGCATGTACCTAGCACTAAGGTGGGTAAAGCATTAAAATACACAAAGACTGGCCTTCCCACCAAGCAATTTTACCTAGCTCTACTTAAATAGGCTAGGGAAAGGTTCCCTAGAGGAGGTGAGGCCTGAACCACCCAGGAGGAGGTCAAACAAGAATCCAGTAACTTCTCCCTCATCACAACTCAGTGGGGGATATCCTCATCTACCTGCTTCACAGCATTCCATGGTGTATCTGTAGTTGGCAAGAATTTTTTTTCATTTTAGTATTTTTATTTTATGTGTATGAGTGTATTGTCTGTGTGTAAGTGCATCCATGTCATGCAATGCCCACAGAGGTCAGAAGAGGGTGTCAGATCCCCTAGAACTGGAGTTATGGATGGTTGTTAGCCACCATGTGGATGCTTGCAATCGAACCTGGGTCCTCTGCAAGAGCAGCCAGTGCTCTTAACCACTAAGCTATCTCTCTAGCCCCTGAGAAGAATTTTTTGTTTTGTCTTTTTGGGACAAGGTCTTCCTGATGCACCAGCTGGCCTAGAACTTAGTGTGTAGATCAGGCTGGCCTCAATCTCACAGAGATCCACCTGCCTCTGCCTCCCAAATGCTCAGATTAAAGGTGTGCACCACCACAACTGCTCCAAGAAAAAAAATTAAGAGCCATTCTCAACTGGGCATACTGTTCTAACACAGACAATGAGTGAGTGCCGCTGTTCTCAGTTCTTTTGAGGATGGCCCTTCTAGACCAAAGAGAAGGTGAATGAGTGCACACAGTGGACACCTGAGAGGAAGCACCTACTGTCCACAGCTCCAAGCATAGTGCCTAGGACATGGTAACATGCTGTGTGTGCTGAGTGAGTGAACTGTTGAGGGAATTATGCAGTTTTTGTGATCATGCCAGTCACTGTGTGAGTTAGTCCCTGATTATCTACCCTTGTCTACCAAATGTCTAGTTCCCTTCCTATTCAGTCAGATCTCTAAGGGCCTTTAGAAAGGACACTACCGCATTTCCACTTTCTTAGACTCCCAAGAGCCAAAATGTAAAACTTACCCAGACATTTTTCTCTTTCTTCTCGTCTCTCTTTGGCTAATCTTTGTCTCTCATCTGATTTTAAAAATCCATCCATGCCTACAAGACAGAAAACATTATCTTCAGTTTTTTCAATTTTCCTTATCTGTGTGCTAGAGATAGCTGTACACATGTATTATCCATTGGCACCAATTCATCTGAAAGAGATCTAATCGATCACTTCCCACCACATGTCCTCAGCCAGACCCACTAACTCAGGGGCAGCAGCCACAGCTTCCACATGTGGCTGCCAGGCTGTGCTGCAGTGGTGCTGACACCAGTCCTTTACCTGAGCCAGTGCCCAGGTCTGACCCTGGAGCGGTCAGGAAGTACAGTAAATGACACAGAGGCTTGCCAGTAAGCAGAGAAGCTAACCAGGCCTATTCTAGCCTGCCTCCCAGGCCTGAGGCAGAATAATTTAGGGGGGAGAAAAACCCAAAAGTGAACAAGATTTTGGATACCAATTATTCTAAAGACAATGAAATGTCTAATTTTCTGAAAGAAGTCAACCCCTGACAAATACATACAAGCTCCTCAGAAGAGCACTGAGAAATGGAAGCCTCAATTTTAATTTTGGTTCTATCAAGTTTTCTGATATCAATCTTAGTGTCTCAGAATTACAAAGAAAAAAAAGAATATCATATACTCATGTGTACTTGACATTCAAATATCTACAAGTAAAGTTGAACAAGTAACAGCTACACCCCCAAAATGTCCACATCTACAGAAGTATTTCTGTAGTTCCACATCCCCACTCAGTGTAAGGCCCTAAAGGACTTTCTAAATTAAAGATTAAATGAATCGTGATTAAGTTTAGAATAACTTATTCCATTCTGGTACAATTGGTTTCCAAAAGTAAGCTATATTCTGTTTAAGCATACCAGTCCAGAGAAATCAGCTTTAGTACTAATGTGACCACATTCAACTTCCCAGTGCCTGGGCCCTTCCTCTTTGGGAGCATCACACTGACTTCACTGTATGCTTTGATGCCATAGCAACCCACATTTCTTCCAGGAAGATTCTTGCTACTTGCTGTCCATGAGAGGGGCAGAGAAGCCAGGCCTGCAGGAAAGGCACTGGGAATGCAGGTGAGGGATGACATGACAACCTGGACTGTCATGATTCCCAGTATATGTTTGGTTTTTCAGGCTGGATTATGTATCAGGGATAGTAAAGCTTAAGAGAGAAGTAATACGAAATCTAACCCTGGACCATAAGTTCTCTGTGTTTGTTTTCAGTCAATCCTTAATTATTATGAGGCTACCAACAATACCAATGTCATCATTTAAAGGTTCAACTCATTCAAGGTCCCCACAACATGACTCTTAACTCTTTTCCCAATTTGTCCCTAGCCCTTTTTTTTTTTTTTTTTTTTTTTTTTGGTCTTTTTGAGAAAGGGTCTCCCTGTAGCTCCAGCTGTCCTGGAGCTCACTATGTAGACCAGGCTGGCCCTGAACTCACAGAGATCCGCCTGCCTCTGTCTCCCGAGTGCTGGGATTAAAGGCATGCGTCACCACGCCTGGCTAGCAATTCCCCCTTTTTTTAAAACACACATCTTCTGGCCTATAGGGCCTACCCCTTCTTTCATCTACTGTTTAACACCTAGTCATACCTTCAAGACCCCAAGGTCCATGATGCCCTGTGCTCCCACAATCTGTGAAGCCCTTACTTTATTTCTCTCTCCTGTAGAGACCTCTGTAACTCAGTTTCCCTGGAAAGTGTCAGAGTCATGTGTGCCTAGATGCCTCTAAGTCTGTCCAGTTCCAGCTACCATATCTTACTTAGTGGCTCCAAAGTGCACTTACAGGGATGCAAGGCAGGCATGAAGTCAATGATAGAGGAGCTTGCAGAAAGTCAGGTCTTTCTCTGCTTAAAACATTTTTAAGTTCTAGTCTCTACTTCAAGTGCAGCTGGTACAAATTTTTTCTGTGTGAAATGTTAAAAATAAAAGCCTAGAATGCCTGGATAGATGCAGCCCTCAGCACCCGCACCAACAAGCCTACCTAAGCTGAACCTGAGCCTCTTGCTCTGCACAGCCCACACCACAACCTTGATAATAACCCATCTGCCTCATATGTAAGGCAGGCCTGAGGATTTCTCAAGGTGTTCTTCAATTAGAGAGAGACAGAGAGAAGAAAAGGTGTCAAACACAGTCACAACTGCCAACATCATGGGGAGGCTTTAAACCTGGAGGCCATTCCGTAGGTATATTATGTTCTCAGACTGCCCTCTTGTGGGCATAACTAAGTGCCACAACTTTCAGGACATTTCCTTTCCAGAAAATCTTCATGATCAGGCATCAGCATCAGCATCATCATAATAGAGGTGACAATCAAGCAGTTACCATGAACCAAGTGCAGCTGGGCACGGTAGTACATGCCTGCAATCTCAGCACTTGGGAGGTGGACGCAGGAAGACCAGCGTTCAAGGTCCTTAGTGCTATAGCTAGTCAGAGGCCAGCCTGGGCTATATGCAACCCTATCTCAACACACACACACAAAGCACACACCCTTGCACACACCAAAACCACTATGAATGAAGTGCACTGCATGAATTTACTGGGCTCGACCACCCTATGATGATGGAGGTACTATTATGAGGCTCACTTTACAAGTGCAGAAATAGCACAGAAAGATTAATTAACTTGTTTTAGGTAGCACTGTTAAAGTGGAGAAGCTGGGCTGGTGCAATGGCTCAGTGAGTAAAGATGCTTGCTGCCTGCCAAACCTGATGACCTGTAATCCCTGGGACCCACGCGGTAGAAGAAGAAAATGGACTCCTGCAAGTTGTCATCTGACCTCCACACATATGAGCACACACAAAATAAATAATAAACAAATAGACAACGAATGAATGAATAAATTAATTAATTAATTAAATAAGCTGGATGTGGTGCCACAGACTTGATCAGATACTACTGCTACCAAACACAGCCAGATTGAAACTAGAGGAATCAGGGTAGAGTATCACCAGTGCTAACACCAGGAGAGGCTTTGTAATGATACGATATACTCTAGGGTTAATGCTGAATTGAATTCCAAAAGGAATCCTTTCTATATCACCTAAAACCCGAAGTTTTAGTTTTCCTACGTTATCATCCTTGATTCCACTGTGCTTTACATTTGTACATTTATTTTCTTGTCTTTAAAACCAAGGACTCAATTTTATCTTGTAAGCCCCCATGAGAATCGATGGCTAAGAGCACTATGCTCACCAGGGATTGAGGGGGGCAAAGGTAAGAAGTGGATGCTATGAAGGATATCTGAAGGCGGTCCCTGTGATGATGGGAAGGTTCTCTATCTTGACTGCATTAATGTCCACACACTGGTTTTGATACTGTACTACAGTTTGGGGAAGAAACTAGGTATGTAGGATCTATCTGTAATATTTCCCAGGACTGCATGTGAATCAACAATGACTAGGAATTGTTTTCTTTAGGAAATAAGCCTTGCCCAGGAATGAATCCCTGAGGTGGCCTACCCAGAAGGCCAATGGTGCTGGCGCTGGAGCCACCCCTATTCCCATTCTTGGTGCAGTAACATTTCCCAAGGCAACATTCAGGCAAATGTGTGCCTTTGAATTAGTCTTTTCCAGAGCAATCTCTTAATGCAACAAATTAAAAACAGGAATACTGAGCAAGCAAACAACCATTTTGTATTAACAGAACAACATAATCTCATACTTCACTGATTTGCAGTTGGTTGGAGTAACTTCCCATTATCTGTGGGCTGTAGCAACACAGTTTTAAAAACTCATTTTGAAAAGAATTTTATTCGCCCGAAGCACTCTCCTACTAGAATTTTAATGAGTTGATATTAGTCAATTATTCATAGTGCTGGTAAGAACCATCTATTGAAATTCAAAGTTTCTAGGGGAAGCCAACTGTCTCTGGCTTTAAAAACTTAAATGAACAAGTGAATTTTATTAGCTATTGTGGCTTTTTGAGACAGGGTCTTGTGTCATCCCTATTGGCCTCAAGCTCATGGTATCCATCCTGCTTCAGTCTCCCAGGTACTAGGATTAAAGACATATTTTCCAAATTTGATTTTGAACATGTATATTTTAAAATAAACTTCCTGATTATGCTCAACCTGTACAATGGCTACGTACAGGGTGGAGGGAAAGAAAACCAAGAATGAAAAGCTTCTATGAAAGTCCAAAGAGAGCCACTCCCTTCTTCTGGGGAGTCCTCCCATATCCCTTCCAGAGTGATCAGGTGTTCTCTGCCTTTGTGGCTGCTTGGGTGTTGACTTTTCCACTTCATCAGTGGTTCTGGTTTGTATCATGATGTTCTGTTTAAACACATGGAGACCAGGCCACTGCTTCCCAACTCTAGCTGTACAGTAGAAGCACCTGCACCTGTAGAACTTTAAAAAAAAATACATAGATGTTAAGCTTTCCTTTCAGACCCTGGTCCAGTCATTCACAGGCATGGCCTTGGTGCTTTAAAAGCTCCTCACCAGATTCTTTTTTAAAATTATTTATTTAATAACCACATGATTAGAAGAAGCATTTCATTACAGCATTAACATATTCAATAACAATTTCCAGAGTAAAGATGCATCTCTTTCAAAAGTGGCTGTAAATTTTTAGGTTCACAGTTGAATTAATAGTTATACAATATTGAACTCAGTATAAACCCTGTAAGACATAAAATTGAACTAAGTTTTTAACTTTTAAAAAAAGATCTCCATTTCATTGTATATACAGTTTCATACAGAAAAACTCATTTTTAATTCTATTACCACTTAGATGTTTGTATATGTGTCTCTAATCTCTATGTATCTGATTATTACTAGTCACAGTCGGTTACACTCAGATCCTCGGCACCTGAGTATGGATATAAAGTCATCAGGTAGATTTCAATGATAATGTTTTCCACCTCTACTAATTAACATGAAGCAAATTTTTATGCTTCTTCCTCAAATATAACTCATTTTTTTATTTGTTAATTTTTTGTGTGTATTTCATACAGAACACCCCAAACAATATTATTCATCTATATACCCACTTCCCAAATGGCACCTTCCCATAGCCCCCCCCACACACTGGAACCCATA